TAAGAAAAATCTGTTTGACTGATTCAAAATCAATGGAAACCCTAATTTTGGACTGACTGATAAAGAAAAGTCTGTTTGACCGATTCTTGAGCCCATCTGAAAAAAATCAGGGAAAACCCCGAAGTTGTGATTTCTTGTGAAAAAGGGAGGGCAAATTTTAGGGTACAACAACCATTGATTACTGTTATAGGGATAAATGGACCATTCTCGACGGCATCCCATATTTCTTCTCCTTGTGCTTCTAGATGTGCCTTCATGCGTATTTTCCAGAAGTCAAATATTCACCACAAAATAGAGGAGGCTTGTTGTTACTACCACCATCTCTGAAAACGGGATTTTGATTTGCGGAAGCCATTCTGGATCTTTTAGGAGCAGGTTACATATAACTTGCTCTGATACCAATTGTAAGTATGAGAGTGCGCCTAAGAGGGGGGGGGGGGGTGAATTAGGTACTTTAATAGTTTTGCTGTTTTAGTGAGATGGATATTATTTTTCTGGTTTAGTGCATGAGTTTACAATCGTGTTTCTTTTTTTTCTGGTTTATGACTAGTGATGAAAGCGGTAAATGCGGAAAAGTAAAGAACACAAAGATGTATCCCGGTTCCCCTCACAGTCCGAGAGTACTCCAGTCCCCTTTCAACATGAAAGAGATTTCCTTATTGTTAGATCTCTAGGGAAGACACCCTAGTCCTTCTATACAAGACTCTAACCAATAAAACCACCAAGAACAATCCTCTTGGGTTTTCACTAAGTACACTAAGAGAACAATCCTCTCTTAATGACTCTCTTGCTTCCAATAATCCTGGAAAGCAATATACAACCAAACACGAAGAACAATCCTCTTGGACCAAGAACAATCCTCTTGGATTTTCACTATGTCAACAATGAGAACAATTCTCTCAAAGTGACTACACTTGTATCCAACAATCCGGGAAAGACAATATTTTAAAACCACTTAAACTTATATCCAACAATCCTGGAAAAATAAGTAAGTAACTATCAATATTTGATTTTGAGTGAGTTGAGTAGTATTGATCACTTATAGTGATTTAACAATGAATGATCTTCTCTTCCAATAATAATAATGTACAATGACTCAAGATATAATTGCTCAAAATTTTCTGTTTAACAATGTATGAAAGTGTGCAGAAAACTTATGTATGAAAATGAAGAAAAGCTTGAGTTTGTATTTTGAAAATTCAGAAAAATATATTTGGAAGAGGTGTTGAAAATGATTTTGAAAATGAATATTTATATATTCATAGCACCCTTTTAAAACATCATAAAGTTCTGAAAATGAATCATGCACAAATGCCAAGATTGAGTGAAAAGTTTCAATGAAAAGGTATTATGAACAGGCATGTGCAAAGCTGTTGTTTTTCAAAATCGTGCAGCATGCAATCGATTGCACCCTTTGTGTAAATCGATTGCACGGGGTTTCAACAGCTATATTTTCAAAAGTTTTAAGTGTGCAATCGATTGCATAAGCAATGTAAATCGATTGCATGTAAAGTCAGTAGCAAAAAATAAGTGAGTGCAATTGATTGCACAAGCAATGTAAATCGGTTGCACTGAGAAACAGAAGAAAAGATTTTGAAAATTTTAAGTATGCAATCGATTGCACAAGTAATGTAAATCGATTGCACTGAGAAACAGAAGCAAAAGATCTGAAAAATTAAAGCATGCAATCAATTGCACTAATATGCAAATCGATTGCACTCAAGTGAAAAATGAATTTTAACTTTGAAAAACTTGAGTAATGATATATAAAATATTTCTTATTCACCATTGATCATCTATATCTTAAGATCAAAGTAAATAATATCATTATACCTTTAAGAGCTTTGAACTGAAGATTTTGTCTGTAGATGCTTTGAGCTTGATAACAAATCTTTGCCTTCTTTGTCAATCATGGTTTGTCTTCATCAAAATAAAAGTTCATTCGAGAAGCTTGATTTTACATATGCTTCACACCATGTTAAGTACGGTCCGATTCTTTCTCTATGCTACTCCATTTTGTTGTGGCGATCTTGGCACTGTCAGTGGGCAAAAATTCCATGGTCTTCATAATATTTGATGAACTCATTTGAAGTGAACTCTCCTCCTCGGTCAAATCTCACCGCCTTAATGGAAAGACCATTTTCTTTCTCCACAAGGGTTTTGAACTTCTTAAAGTTTTCAAATACTTTTGACTTATCCTTCAAGAAATAAACCCATGTTTTTCTTGAATAATCATCAATAAAGAGGAGAAAATACTTATTCTTACCAAAAGAGTTGGGTTTGATTGGTCCACAAACATCAGTGTGTATGAGCTCTAGCGGATTTGTCACTTTTGATGTTGGTTCCTTTGGAAAGATTTTTTGGAATTGCTTCCCAATTAAACATCCTTCGTAGAGTTGGTCTGGGTGGTTGATGCTAGGCTAGCCTCTCACCATCTTCTTCTTTGCCAAACATTCTAAACCGTCAAAGTTGAGGTTCCCGAATCATAGATGCCATAGCCACGAAAAATCGATATAGTAAGCCTTGAGACACTTTAACATATCATTTTGAATGTTCAATAGGAACATTCTATTCTTTGACATAAGCACCTTATCAATCAAGTTATGCCTACAATTTATTAAGAAAAGACTATGTTCTTTCAAGTGGATGTCATAGTCTTTCTCTAATAATTGTCCCAAGCTCAAAATATGATTCTTCAAGTGGATATGAATTGATGACTCCCATTTTTCAAGCGTATGAGAATTTTACCTTTGCTTTTGATCGGTATCTTCGAGTCATCTCCAATTGAGACATCACCAGTTGTTGCTTCATTGATTTCTAGGAACATGCTTTGATCGCCGCACATATGGTTGCTTGCACCAGTGTCTAGATACCACTTGTTTCTTTTCACTCCGACTTGATTTTGGCACGCGAGTAACAAAGTTTCTTCTTCTCCGCCTCTTTCTTCTACAAAGTTAGCTTTATTTTCAACCTTCTTCGAGAACCTACACTCGAATGTGTAGTGACCAATCTTGTTACAGTTAAAGCACTTGATTTGTGATTTTTTGCTCCTCGACCATGAAGTTCCTCTTCCACGACATCTTGTTGCTTGTGGTTTCCAACTTATTTCTACATTGTTGAAGTTGTTGGAGTATTTGTTGTAGACGCCTCGTCCTTCTCCATGTCCTCGTCCACGTCCACGATCTTGGGCACGACCTCGTCCTCTCTGGCTCTTGTAATTCACATAGTTTACTTCCTTTATGTTTACTTGTAGCAGTTGCTCCATAGCCTCCTTTTGTTTAATTTTTCTCTTTTGTTTTTCTTCGTATGCGTGTAAGGAACCCATGAGTTGTTCAATAGTTATGGTCTTTAAATCCTTGTTTTCTTCAATGTTGGTAACAATGGAGTCAAAACTTGGATTTAAAGTACGAAGTATTTTCTCCATGACTTTCACCTCATCAACATTTTCACCATTTCTTTTAAGTTGATTGACTACGGCCAATACTCAAGAAAAATAATCTGAAATTGACTCAGAATCCTCCATAAACAAATGTTCAAAGTCACATCTAAGAGTTTGAAGACAAATATTTTTAACCTGCTCAACTCCTTTGTGGCAAGTTTGAAGCTTGTCCCATGCTTCTTTGATCGTTGTTGCGTTGAATATCTTCTCAAACTTATTTTCATCCACCGATTGGTAAATGAGGAGAGAGATTTCTTGACTCTTTCAACGTCTCCTTTAGACCTTGACTTAGCGAGGATTCATCTTGCTCCTTGAAGCCTTTGTCAACGATATCCCACACATCTTGAGCTCCTAGTAGCACCTTCATCTTGATACTCCAATTGTCATAGTTGTTCTTTGTGAGCATCGGCATTTGGAAAGGGAAACCACCATTCACTATTTTTTGAGGATCTTGAAGCTCTGATGCCACTTTGTTGGAAATAAGGTCTATGTTTAAGAAAAATGTGGGAATATTACAGGCTTGAATAGAAACTTGATAAGTAGGAGAATTCTTTATGGAGGAGAGAACTTTATATTTTTGCTTGATACAAATGTGTGAGATTACATCTCTATTTATACTACTCTAATGAGAACTCTAGACACACCAATTCTAGAGAGTTCTCAACTCTAGAGATCCAAAAAGTATTCTAGAAAATATTTCAATCATAAGAAATATCTAAACACTCTAAACACTACAAGAATTCTTTAAAAATAATACCCAAAATTACTTAAGCCCAACATAATTAAGTCCAAATAACCAAATAATAATTAGGCCCAAATCAAATTTATAATTTCAACATGTGGTTTAGTACTGTTAATAGCGGCTTTATTTCGTGTAATTTTTTTATTGGAATATTTTGCCACTTAATTGTATTACAAAGTAAGGATGTGTCTTGTTGTGACTCCAAATTGAAGAACTTCTTGTATCTGATTTGACTTAATATATGAATCATTATTTATGAAAAAATATATATGGAACAGTAAATTTTACTTACATGCATGAAGATTTCTATAAAACACCAAAACAAATTAGGTCTAAAACTTCAAATTTTCTACACCTATATGCAAGTAGATGTCTATAAAACATAAGACAGAATACAATGCGCATGTCTAAAACTACCAAGCTGTAACTAGTAAATTTTCAATCTCCACCGCAATATCATCTAAAGATACAAAATATGCATTATATATGGGTGTGACTTGACCACAAGAAACAGTTATAATCATCTTATTTACATGTAAAATTAGTGTCTGGAAATTACAAAACTTCACATGAAATCTATCATGATAAATTATGGGAAAAGAACACATAATATTCACATGATCATGATATCTTCGGTAAATTAAAACATAGTCTTCATTATAAGAAATAATAGATTCCTTTATACATAGTAATGTTATTTTATATTATACCACATAATAGCGCACCAAATAAAAACACAGGCAAAGTTGAATATATATAAAACATACTTCAAGCACCAAAATAATAATACAATTAATAATAGTAATTTTGTTGTAATCTTCATTCTTGCTTGTTATTCTCGTCAACAACAACAACCTTGTTGTCTGTCTGTCCCAATAAGCTGCTCATGGATCGTGCTTTAACCATTCCAAGTTTCATTCTCTTCTTAACCATTATCACCGGCTTCTTCTCATCATCATCATTTTCCAACTTATCAACAATACCATTCCCAGAAGTGATTTTCTTTACAAGATCGGAATTAGAAGATGAAGCACTAGTATCTCTATCAACAACATTGCTTGGTGCAACAGTAGTAGTGGTAGTAACAGTAGAAACTCCGGTAGATCTATTTCTTACACTTGTCATGCTTCTCAACCTTCCTTTCCCTAAATGATGCTCACAAAGAGAATAACCAACTAGTGTTTGTTGACAACACCTCCATCCTCTTCCATTAACACGACTGCACCGCGAACCTTCCATCAGTGCACTTCCCCTTTTCGTCGCCCTCTTCTTAGTATTATCCACTTTTTTCTTGCTTTCTTCATCTTCGTCGTCTTTCCTCATACATTTCTTATTCAACTTCGTCTTCATCTTTGTTTTCTTACTATCAACACTGTCCATACCAACATTCTCCAACCTTCCTTTCCTTTTCTTTAATGGAATAGCTTTCTCTCCCTCACACCATCTCCCTTCTACATATACATAACTCTAACTCTAATTAAACCATTCTCCCAAACAATACATATGCATGAAATAATGTAGTAGTAATGTTTGTTACCTTGAGCAAAAGTAGTTGATGATGGAAAGAGTTGAGAATCAACCAAGAAATCTCCTTTGCTAAGAATAAAGCAGACCCAAAAATCACATAAACACATGAAATTTACATGAAAGGGAAATATGGATATATAGATATTAATAAATAGGAGTGCAATATTATTGTTGAGCCTGGGGACCAGTTATAGCTAGTAGTGCACCTCAAGTGCAAAATGGTAGCTACCCAATTTACAGAAAAGAAGGATGGGCTTAATTTGGTTATATACACAAATATAATACACAATATTCATCTTATTTGAAACACTTTCAACAGTATTTTCCATTGCTATATTTTTTTTAAAAATAATAATGATAATAATATAATTTTCTTTTTGTAAGCCGAGTAATAAACTTGAACTTTTATTACTATTTGATGAAAGAATAAGAGATAAAAAAAGTTTGAGTTTCATAATATATTCTCACCTGATATGACTACTTTTGTTCTCTCCACTCTCTTTCTCTTCCCCTCTAACCTTCTCATCCTATAAAATCAAACAAAAAATAAATGAATGTAATGTAAGAGCCCTTTTCTGGATGTGAAATAATTTTTTAAAGAAAAATAAACTAAATAAATTTGAAACCAAGAGGAAACAACTTGCAAGAGATTAGACAAAAGTGCACTTGCAAAAGCCCAAATCATGAAATATTTTAAAAAATAAAATTAAAAAAATAAAATAAAATAAAATTTTAAAAGATAAAATAAAAACAGTTTTTTGGCTTACCAAAGGGCGTTGCTTGTTGTGCTGTTTGTGTACCCCACTGAGTTGGATGGTGGATCGATAATCGCAACCGCTGTTTAGTTTCCCGATCAGTGGGAGTGTTTGATCAGACGGCTCATAAAGATCCAAGCTCGAACCAGCTGAAACAAGCAACGAAGCTGAAGAAGAACAAGGTTTGGGTTGTGTGTGAGCATGAGCACCGTCGCTGAGTTGCACCATCACCGGTGACCGGTTAAACTGGTTGGGATCTGAGAGATGCAGAGGTGGAATAGACTGAGAAGAAGAGAAAATAGCCTGTCTTTTACGGATCCTCATCGGTGCAAGATTGAAAACAAAAAAAAGAAAAACTAATACACAGAGAACAACAAACTCACGAGATTCACTCTGTTAAAATAAATACTCAGAGAGATTGTTTAAAGAAAGATGAGACGTTTGGGTTTTGAGATTTGAAGAAAGAAAAAAGCAAGATTAAAACTGTGAACCCATATAGTCTACTTACTACATGGGCAAGACCAAGAGAGAAAAAAAGTTTTATGCTTTTAGTTTTATTATCTCATTTCTTTTGTGTGTGTCTCTATATATTTTGGTTGTTCCACACGAGTTTACTTTCTCACTCTAGCTTTTATTTGTTGCACCACAGAAAGGAAGGTAGTAGTTGTATGGGTGAGAGATGGCACGTGTGAGATGGTTTTTGGGAGGAGGAAGCACGTGTAAGGATGGAGACTTGGAGGGACGGTAACCGGTGGAAGAGAGAGAAATAGAAAATGACAGAGTACGACCAAGATGAGAGGGTGGAATGGAAGAAAGAAAGAAAGCGTTACATAGTATTCTATCCTATGACCTTTCCAACTTGTTAGTATTACCGTTCTTGTTTTTGTAATAAGCGGTTACAATGTTAAAATTGTTTAAGTCAATGTTTTTTTGGCTAGGCTTTCTCAAAATTTACTGTTTACCATAAATTCAATAACCCAAAAAAGGATTTTTTTGACAATTACTTTCTTTTTTTTCGTAAAAGAATTTTGACTATTACTTCGTACTTAATAGGAAACTTTATGTATAGTGGATAATAGGGTAATATATATTACTATATAATTCTAAAAATAGTTTTAAGGTTAATTTTTATCCAAAATCATCTCTCTAATTTTTTTTTCATTCAAATGATTTCACATATATTTGTAATTTTTTTCATTGTGATTTCGTCGATTTAGTGTGATGTTTTGTTGGTCGTCGTCTTATTGTGCTGTTATTTTATTTTCCCGTTTTGGTGTGGTGTTTATTTGGTTCAGATTAACAGATTTGTTTTAACTCAGTGCATATACAATTAATAACTTTGACGTCGTCATCAATACAGACTCAGAGACATGAGTATTCTGAATATTTCAATTTTGTCATATTTGCAGGTTTTGTCACATTTGTAGGCATTTTATCGTTATATGTTATTAACGTGGGTGTTGTGAGTTTGTTCGCATATTCATTCTTTTTAGTTTATAGTGATTTTGAATTTGTATTATTTGATGTATTCTATAAATTTGAATGAATGAATATCGTTTTTAGTCCAAAAAAAGTATCGATTTAGTTTGTACAAGATTTTGGCTAAAGTTCTAGCTTCTCGGTTAAGAAGGGTTATTCCTTCGTTGATTTTCAGGAACCTATCAACTTTTGTTCAGAATAGACAAATGCTTGATGGTATTTTAGTAATCACTAAAATTGTGGACCTCGCAAAAAGATCTAGAATAGGGTGTTTGCTTCTTAAAGTATACTTTGAGAAGGCATACAATAGCCTTTCTTGGAACTACCATAGGAGCGTGATGAGATCAATGGGCTTTGGTAGTAGGTGGGTGAGATGGGTGGAGGAAGTGTGTTATCTAGTGCTTTTTAAATCTTGGTTAATGGAAGTCCGACCAAAGATTTTGAAGTTAGTAAAGGTTTAAGATAAGGAGATATGTTGTTACCTTTTGTATTTCTCTTGGTGGCAGAAGATTTGAATGGTTTGATAATGAATTTTATTCTTAAAGGAGACTATAATCCTTTTAGAGTGAATGAGGTAATCAAGTTTGAGATTTTACAGTTTGTTGACGATACTATGTTGCCTTGTGAAGGGAATTGGCATAATTTGTGGAGTATAAAAGGGTTATTAGGGGGTTTTAACTAGCTTCCGGCCTAAGTGTCAATTTTCATAAAAGCAAGATTTTTTGGATCAACTTTGATGAGGATTTTCTTGAAGCGACATCAACTTTTTTGTCTTGTGATAAAGGTAGATTTCCTTTTACTTTCTTTGGTGTTCCTAATGGGGAAAACCCAAGAAGAAAGCAGACTTGGAATGACATCCTTGACAAGTTTAAAAGAAGGTTTTTCGTGTGGAAAAGTAGGAAGTTATTGATAGGAGGAAGGGTGGCGTTGATAAATTCAGTTTTTACTAGCTTAATTATTCACTACTTTCCTTTTTATAAAGTTCCCAAAGTGGTGGTTTCCGAAATTGTGAAAGTGCAACATAGATTTTTATGGGGAGCGGATGATAGGAGGAGGAAAGTGTGTTGACTTAGTTGAGAAAAAAGTTTGTAGGGAAATGAGCAATGGGGTTCTTGGAATTAAACATTGCGAGCTTTACAACCATGCATTTTTGTGCAAGTGGTTTTAGCGAATATTAAATGAGAAGGACACATTGTGGCATGGTTTACTAACGTGTAGGTATGAAGATATCCAGGGGGAAATTAGTGAGGGATATTTTTTTTGGTTAAGGAAAAATAACTCTATGTGGTGGAGAGATCTTAATGTGCTCGGTTTTGAGCTTTCAGATGATAATTCTAGCATATCTGACTGTTTTAGTGGGAAAGTGGGGAATGGTAAAACCTTAAGTTTATGGAAGAATAAGTGAGAGGGAAAATATAAACTTGTTGGCGGTTATTACAGAATATTCTTAACAAAAAGCTACAATTTTTTAAATATTATATAAAAAATTTAACCAAAAAAAAATTAGGTGGTAACTTTTTTTCTAAACATCATAACATTTTATTTAATCTTTCCTTTAAATATTATAACATTTAATAAAAAAAAACATATTTATAAGATTAAATTATTGAAAAAAAAATTCAATATAATTTTTTTTAATAAAATTTCATTCACCACTAATTTTTTTATTGGGGAAATTTAATAATTTATATCTTTTATTTTTTATTTTAATGCGCCCTCCTTTTTTATTTCCACTCAAGTTCGTCTTGTTGTATATTAAAACTTACATTTCTTATATTTTTTTGGAAAAAGAAGACTTTATTATCAAAAAACAGGGACGAACACGACGATCACTAGGATCCAGCCAACAAAGGAAACAAAATCAACCCAAGGAGACACCAGTCTAATCTAACATTAAACTAATAATTTTAGACTTAAGCTTTTTACAAAATCAACCCCTAAGAATAATCTTGTTTTTTATTTCAAGAATAATAGCTTCCTTATCTACTTTAACTCCAAAAATGCTGGCATTTCTGTAATTCCATATAGCATACACAGTTTCAACTGCCGTAAGCTTCAACAAGGTTGCTTTCCAACCTTTACCTTTTCCATGTTGCTCCAAATATGTTTCAGCTCAACACAATCAAACAAGATATGCATTATAGTTTCCTCCCTACTACAAAAATTACAGCTCTTGTTATCCACTATACCAAACTTGAAGAGACAATATTTTGTTGCTAGTCTCTGATGATAAGCTAACCAAAAAATCAACAAAGATCTAGGCCTAGCAGGATTGTTCCTCAACAAGAAAATTACACAGAGAAGGATAAATTATTTTCATACTAAACATCTGCTTGATATTCATGTCTTCCCAAATAACAAAATTACTAGCAATAAAGAACCTCTGCTCCAGGATCTTCTTCATTATCTAAGTGCTAGTTGTTTTAGGCTTGACATCCATAATATTCTGACCCTTTATGTAGTAAGAATTTACCGACTTAACCCATAGGTTGTCACTTTTATTACAAATATTCCAAAGCAACATAAAAAAAGAGCATTGATTCCAGATATCCAAATCAATGATGCCTGACCCACCCTGTTTAACAGGTTTACAAACACTAGACCAGGCAAGAGGACTTTTCCTACTAATAGCCTATTTTCCTATCCAGAGAAATGAACTACAAATAGAGTCAATCTTCTTAATGACCACTTTAGGCATGGGAAAATCATTAACCATAAATTAGCCATTGCAAAGGAAATGCTCTTAATCAATTGAGCTCTTCCAGTATAACTTAAAAGTTTCATAGACCAATGGTTAATACTACAAGTGATCTTATCAACAAAGGGAGAGTAATTACAAACAACCAATTTTTTGCAAGTGAGGGAAACCCCCAAATACTTGAAAAGTAAACTGCCTTCACTATAACAAAACTGACTCAAAATCAGGTTTTTCTAATCAAAAGTAACACCATCAAAGAACATTTTACTCTTTAAAGTATTGACTTTCATACACATGAACTTGGCAAAGGAATTGAAAGTCTTGAGCATAAGGTCCATAGAAATTAAGTCTCCTATAGAGAACATGAGGACATCATCAACAAACATCAAGTTCGTTAGAGCATTCTTCTCACATTTGGAGTGGTGGTTGAAATTAGGGTTAAGCTGCATTTGATATAAACACCTCTAAAGATACTCCATATTGATAGTAAACAGATAGGGGGAGATAGGGTCCCCTTGTCTAATACCATACTTAGCTTGCATAATCTAAGAGGTAGACCCATTCACATTGAAATGATAAAACAAATTGAGATGATAAAACTAAAAGCATAAAACTTTCTCTCTCTTTGTCTTTCCCATGTAGTAAGTAGACTATATGGATTCAGAGTTTCAATCTTGCTTTTTTCTTTCTTCAAATCTCAAAACCCAAACATCTCATCTTTCTTTAAACAATCTCTCTGAGTATTTTTTTTAACAGAGTGAATCTCGTGAAGCCCGATGAAGTGAATGGCGACGTTAAAACGAGTGATGTCGAGATAGATGTTCAACAACAATTTACAAATGATCAAATTTTCAGTGCTCCTCAACATATGCTTGAATGGGTCATAATGGAAGCTAGCAAACTCGGGTTTAGCGTTGTGATTGGAAGATCTGACAATGACACTACTAGAAGGCAAGCATTTATAACGATGACATGCGAGAGAAGTGGAAAATATGCTCCAAAAATTCGGAAGTTAAAACATGATGACACCAGATCGAGAAAATGTGAGTGTCCGTTTAAATTGCGTGGATACTGTAAGGTGGATGATATGTGGCAGTTCATTCGGTGTATTTTAGAATATAATCGAAATATTTTTGAATGTATTGTC